AGTTTTCTATGATCTAGAAGAGACTGGCCTTTTCTGGCCCAATCACTAACCCATATTTTTCCTTTCAGCAGCTGATGCAGGCGACGGGCATGCTTAGCATTCATATGAAACTCAAGAGAGTCAGATCGGATTTCAAAAAGAACAAGTATTACATGGTTTCTCAGTGAACGGGACCTTTAACAGGTAGGTTACACAATAGCCCAGATGAGTAAACACTGAAATCAACACTTCACCACTTAACCAACTTGACAAATGTTCAAGAAACAAATCTACAAAGTGGAATTATATTTTGGGTGATGTTTAAGAAGTAATATAGAATGAAAATAACTTTAAACTTCCTAAATATTGTCACAACCGTTTACTGTGTTTTCATTTTTACAACAGCAGCATTCTGTGGTTGGACGGAGCCAGGATCGAACAGGCAATCTTCAGATTACTAGACAACCCGCCCCACCTCCTGAGCTACTCCTGTCCCTATTTAAAAAAATATTATAGAAAATGTTGAGAAGTATGGAAACAGCTGGATATCCTCTCTTAAAACACAAATTAAGTTAATCACTCCAGCATAGATTACATTTCCTCACTAACAAACAGGAAGTAAACTAGCTCGTCAGTCAAAACAAAATGTGTATTTTACTGCTAAGCTAAATATTTACCACAAAGCCAGAAACCTGTATAAATGCTCACTGGTAGTTCATAACAAACTTAATTCCTGCAGAGCTGACCAATTTCCAGGCACTGATTCACCTTGTATTGGATACATCCTTCCTTCCAGATAAAAAGTGTAACCAAATGAGACGGACTGTTCCAAGTGTTCTCAGACTGCCGTCATCAGCATGTCCTGTTCCATTCAGTCCATTTCAAAAGGGACTACGAATGGTTTCACTGGTGACATTTTATGTGTATTGTAACACAACCAAACAGGCAGCTTGTGTTTAAAGCATAAAGTAATTCGTGGAAAAGAGAGACAATGACCTTGGAGTCAAATACATCAGAATGTAATGTAAGCATTAGGGATGCACAGATACCTCTTTTTTCCAAACCGATACGATACCGATACTTGGATCTGGGTACTCGCCGATGCCGATTACCGATACTTCTACCACACAAAAAAATGCAATGATTTGGAATACAGATTTTATTTTCTTCTCTGCTTTCAACAGGAAAAGACTGTGAGGTAGATAAAAAGTAAAATATATGAATGGAAATCATCACAGAACTAAAATATTAGGTGAACAGAAATGACAAGTTACAGTGAAGCCATTTTCAAGCAACTGCATTGGTATCGGTTCCTGGTATCGGATAAAGTTTACCATTACTGGTATTGGTATCGGCACAGATACCAGTATCGGTATCGGTGCATCCCTAGTAAGCATCATGTCGACGCTAAAAAAGATTTGATCTTAGCCAGCACAATAGTTTTGTGTTAAAAACTTAAGACTATAAGTTTAAGTTCTTGGTCCCATATGGCTACAATGGAGATCTATGGATGTATGCAGGGTCCGAAATTAACACTCGCCACTCGCCAAATGCGAGTAAATTGCTCCATTTGGCGAGTAAATTTTTGAGCTCTACCTGCCACCTGGCGAGTAAATGTTTGCACCAAATTAGTTATGTTTATCAGCCATCTTCCATGGATTTCTGACACTCCTCCCGCCTGCATGCAACGTACACAAACGTACGCGAAATATGAGCGCCGCATCCAACGTCATTTCCACCTATCCCATTCAATCAATTTATCAAGTTAGCGGTTAGCTTCGTGTTAAAACTAGCGGTGAAATGTGGCGTTTTTTAACTGGAGTCAGCCAGCCTTCCAAAAGAAAACTCTTCGAACTGGAAGAAAAACCACCAGGACCAGTGGAAACCAGAAGATTTTGTGAAAAGTGGCGAACCGGAGATGGCGGAGTTGTGAGACAATGGCTACATTATGATGGCCACGTAGCGTTGCTGCCTTTCACAGACAACTGGCCCTCGGCATTCTTCAAATATCCTAAAGATGCCCATAGTTCCGACTTTGTCTTCTTTGAGGGATAATAAATGTCCCAAGTGCTGTCTCCTCCTGCCATTATTTCAGCTTTAGCTTAAAGAAAGTTTTGGTTGTAAACAACAAAGTGCGCATGTGCCGCCGGCAACTTCCAGATGATACGGTGGCTGGTAAGGGTCACCGCGCCTACACCGCAGCCACGGTACTCCACTGAGATATATATATTTTTAAAACAAGACGGTTATTATTATTGTCAACTTTTTTTACCAGGGTTTACTGCTACACCCGTTACCGTGACAACCCCTGACACACTTTTAGATATTCTCCTGGTGCAGCTGTGTTCTCCAGAGATCAAGGACTATAGGACCCAAATGAGGCTGTAATGCTTTGGCACAAAGACGGTGTCAGAAGCAGGAGGCCAGACTTCATGGACAGAGAAAACAAGGAGTCTGACTAGATTTCAATGAAAGCTTTCATAAAAACATCTCTAAAAATAAATAGATAAATAAATAGTAAAAATGACAAAAGAGTTGTTTTCCTTATTAATTGATGTTTTAATTATTTTGTCACTCTGTTTGGAATCAACATAATATAGAATAACATGCTTTAGGTAGATCTAAATCATTTAGAATTTTGGCCGGTAAAAAATATGCTTGGCCGGTAGATTTTCATCATCTACCGGTAGGGTTGTCACGGTAACCGGTATAGCGGTAAACCCCGGTAAAAAAGTTGACAATAAAAATAACCGTCCAGTTTTTAAAAAAACTATATTATCTCGGTGGGTTTACCGTGGCCGCGGTTTCGGCGCGATGACCCTTACCAGCCACCATCGCTTCAGCTGAAGTTCCCGCGGCGCGCACACGCACTTTTTAGTTTGCAACAGCACCAAAACTTTGAAGCTGAAATAATGGCCGAAGGAGGAGACGGCAGCGCCCAGGACATCCATCAGCCCTCAAAGAAGACTAAATCGGAAGTATGGGCATATTTTGGATTTCTGAAAAATGCTGAGGGACAGTTAATAGAAGACTGCTATCCCGTTTGCAGAACGTGCAGGAAACAAGAGTCTGCAAAAGGCAGCAACACTTCGAATCTAATGGCACATCTGAGTGACCATCACCCACGTCTCTACAGCCAGTGCAAGGTAAGTTAACATTAGCATTTTAGCTGAAATGCATGACGTGAGGACTTTTGGTTGACGGAGACTACAACGAGTCACTATATACTGCAGCCGCAGCGCCCCCTGCCAGCATTTAAACCGTGTCACGGACACCCTGTTGCTGGATGAAGCATCTTATTTGTTGATGATGAAGAGAAATATACAATTAGTTCCTTGTCATTGATTTGTTTACTTATTCAATGCCATTTATACTTGAACGTTTGGATTTGATTACATAGTGTAGTAGTTATTTTAGTAATTTGTTTAAAGTGGCTATTTATTTTAAATACATATTTTTTTAAGGTTGACTTGTACAGTGCTCAAGTCAAGTGTGGACTGGAGTTTTAGATTTTCATTTTGATAATGAAGAAAACAAGTATATGAGAAAACAAGTGGTGTTTCTTTGATTTGTTTACATATTGTTTATGTTTTGAATGTTTGGATTTGTATAATTTAAACCTGCACTGACTACTGTAACAAGTTCCAGAAAAAGAAGCTATTTGTTCCTTTACTTGTGAAAAGTTGCACTTTTGCTAAGGCTTTGTGTTATTTTAGGTTTAATAAACACTGTTAAACCTTTTCAGAACTATTTCAGTTTGTGTAGAACAGGACTATCAATGCTTTCTGAACATATGCAACACCGTTTAAAAAATACCGCGATAATACCGAAAACCGTGATAATTTTGGTCACAATAACCGTGAGGTTAAATTTTCATACCGTGACAACCCTATCTACCGGCCAACTTGGCCGGTGAGTAAAAATTTTTATTTTGGACCCTGAATATATGTATGTGGTAAATGTACTGGAAAACAGATATTAAAAATAAAACGTCCCCAACCCTGGATCACTTACACGGTGTTAGACGCTTAAGAAGCTCAAACATAAATGATACATTTGGCATAAGTTACAACTTCCTTTTGCCAAAACAGATTCAAATAAGCCCTGTGTTCATTACAATGACAGCAAATATCTGAAGTTCAATACAATGTCCCTCCAACCACTGAGGAAATTTCAAATCAACTTATTCAGATGTTACTTGGCTTTGCATGATTTCACAAAAACCACAATCCCCCATTACTGGTTCTTTTCCACCCTTTGAGTTAGCAAATGGAAAAGACAGTCAGAAACAATGGCAGAAGCACCACCTGTGAAGATCACATAATCAACAGCCATCATTAATTTACATATGTTGTCTAGAGAGAAAATAAACCATTTAGATGTCCTGATTTTTGACATTGCTTACAAGGAAAAGAACACATCGGATTGTAAGACTCATGGTTCTTTTTTCCCGACAAATAAAGAGCATCTTGCACTTCCCACAAGCCCAAAGAGGAACAGCTGAGCCATCAGCTGAGTAATGAGAACTCACACTGAGGCAGTTCCATGGAAAATGTGTTGATGAAAAGGTACAGTCTCATTTTAAAAAATGTTGGTGTAAATGAAAAGGTCAATATAGCACCTAGTCCTTTTAAAAGTCACTGAATTAAGAACTGATCACGGAAACAACTTCAAACCCACAACATTATATTTCATCTTTACCGGATGTCCTGCAGCAGTGAACCAAGTGTGTGGAAAAAAGTTAGGTCAGGGTAACAAGGACATCAAGCTGCTGACACTGACAAACTGACATGTTGTGGTTTTTGTCTTAGAGAACACAACACAGTTATTCAGTAGTTGAGCCTGCTTATAACTGGTCAAAACCAGTAGGTGTGACTACAACACGGCAATAACCAACGCCACCCTTCGCAGTGGTATCAGGCTGTACTTTGGAATGCCAATTCTCCAGACTGAATAGGGTCCACACAATACAAAGCTCTAGTCACAATGAACATTTAAACTCAAACACAGTCCCAACTTACTTTGAGCAAGGATCACTGACCAATACTAAAATCCTCCCTGAAGACACTGACTTCTGTTTCAGGCGCGGAAAGATCACAACACTCCTGTAAAATATGTAAACAACAGGAATCACGTGCGTGAGGACTAAAGGTCAACTTCCTTCACGGTGCTGAGCTTCTGTAAATTTTCTGCAGAGAAAGCGTTTAGTTAGGATTAGGATTTTAACTCTGTGCCATTTTTCTTGGAATGTAGCACTGTCAGGGTTCACGTCACACAAAAACAGCAGCTTCAAGCATAAACTTTACCACTACGTATGCTCCAAATCTCTCAGTATTCTACGATTGGCCTGCCAACGCCTCTGCGTAGTCCGCTTCGATTCAGTCAGACTGGTTTGACAAGTCCTGGGTTACAAAGCACCAACAAGGAACGTGCGTAAACATAGCACGCTGTTCTTTACAGTTAACCATTTCAACACCAAATATCTGTGAAACCTGACAGCACTAACAGCACTTAAAAGAAGTCATTTTGATTATTTCCATAAAAAAAAAACGTTATTCATTCATTATTCATTGATTTCAATCAGCTCTTGAGGCTAGAGAAGTTGATACGTAGTTAAACTCACAAATAATTCACCAGATAAAGTTCAGCACGTCTGCAGCCAAGCTCTGTTCTCACATATCCCACAGGTCGGCTGCACAGCAAACAGTGAGGTGAGTAAATGTGCACCGACTTGTTTGCCTTCGCACAGTACAAACAAGAAAAGCAGAGCGGCTGAGCCAGTCAGCGGCAGATGAACGAGGACAAACGGGAGGGTCCTCCCACAGTTTCACCCACGATCCCTGGGCTGAGCAAACGACGAAGAAGTGAACTTTGGTTTACTCTAGTTTCAAATTATAACCTCCACTTTGACTTGGTGGATCAAGAGCAAACAGTTTAATGTTTCTGCTTCCAAAAATGCTGAGTGCCACAAACATGACACTCAAAATGGCAGCCAGATTTTCAGGTTTCATAATAAGCTCCATCAGCACGTCGTATAAGAAAATACAGTCATATTAACTATGATAACTCTATAACTAATCTGCATAAAATGCTGGCTCAAAATTAAGGAAATAGACATTTAAATATCAGGAAAAGAGTTGAGAAAGAAAATCAACACATGTGGCGAGGTTTGTTCTTTAGTCTTGTTTTGTTTACTATACTCTTAATATGTGACAAAAATGACATTAAATTAAAAAAGTTTCAGTGTCATTGGCAACCTGTTGTTAGTTAACTCTCACAAAATATCTAATTTAACCAGAATCCAAGTGTTTGTGTTTAATTTGTATAACAGAAGTAAAAGAGAATGATCAAGGAGCTGTGATCACCTGGACCTGGGAGCATACAAACCTTGTAAAAACGGAACACGAGAATGACGTTTGGGGCAAACAAAAAAAAGAAAAAGAAAAGCTAACCTCCACAGATGACAAACACAGGATGTTAACTACTTTTGCAAGAGATGGTGAATGTTACGGATGTAAGAAAATATTGATATGGCAATATATCGTGATGTTTCTTCCTGAGATGTAATATTGATACTCAAAAGCCATGTATCTAACTTTTGGAAGAGTTTATATGCAAACATTTGTGTAAAAGGAAGTGACGCCACCAACATCCAGCAGTTACCCTGACGAAGACGGCAGTGACGTAAAAACATGTCGGCAAAGGTCAAAACCAACCCTCATCCCACTGTGTACAACGAAGTACTAAAGAAAACAAACACATTCGTGTATTTTATTTTGGTACAATTAAAATGCTGACCGCTAGTTGGCAACAGCGTGCAATGGGTTTTGTTTCCACCATTGAAATGAAAATCCCTCTACTATGGTTCAGATAACTCATGTTAAACATGTTACGCATCAGTTTGGACTATTTATTGAATTTTCCTGCACTAAATTCAGTCTAAAAAAAATCACTAATATTGTCTGGCTGAATGTATCGCAATAAATCGTATCCTCTCCCCTGTATCATAATACGTATCGTATCACCAGAATTTCACCAGTATCCCAGGTGAATGTTATCTTCTTTATTTTACATGAATGTTAAACCTTTTCTCTGAATCTTTAGAAACAAACTTGGAATAAAAAAGTAAAACAGTGTGTTCATTTAAACTAAGTTTGGCTGAAGTGCTACTTTGCAGAAAATAAAATAAGCAATGTTACGTCTTTAATTCTCGTTTAGGAAAATGTCCAGACAAATTAAACTATTTAGCCCTGAACTTGTGATTTAAAAAAATCTGAGTTCCCAGTTAGCTAATCAAAAAGTCCCTTAGTGTGCAGAAGAGGACAATCCTCTATTGTGCCAAGTCCATTCTGCAGATCTGGCACCCCTAAATGAGATGGCGAGTGGCTGTTTGAATGAGAGAGAGAATGCTGCTTTAATATCAGCAAAGTACAGTGAACAACCAGCTGGTGATCACACACAAATACACACACAGATCTGATTAGATAAGACCCTGTACCCACGTAGCCAGGAATCCCACAAATCAAAGATATTTTTCTACGGTTTGGCCTGTCATCCACACATAAGTGAAGATGTATGGCAAGTAAAATAATTATTTAAAAAAACTTCCACCAAAGTGGAATTTTGTGAATTCTGTTGTCAGCATTTGCTTGTGAATGTAAATAACCGGGTTTTAGGTTTCGCAACGTCTCAGCCCACCATAAAAATGCTCGACTTCATATGTGTGACGTGTGTTTACACTGACCAGTTTTTACAAGGTTATTCCTGCCAACAAGTTATTTCATACCCAAGGAACATTTTCCTGCAGATACGCCAACAATTTGGGGAAATGCTGCCACATATAGGTTGCATGTAATGAGCATCACAATACACTGTATTATTTTGCTGAAAACAAACTGGTGTGGACCATATCTTTTTTTTCTTCCCAAATGGGCAAAGGAGGATATTCGGTTTTACAAAAACCCGGCTACGCGAGAACATGGCCACAGATCAACAGCTCCATATAAGCATATTATTTCACTTCTACCAATTTTTGATACTTCTCAATCAAATCCTAAGCACTTTCACAATTTCTAACAAAAATAAACCACAATAAGACTTTTTGCAAGAAAATAAAATAACATTTTGATTTACTTGGATTATCTTGACTCTAAACATCTTTGGTGTGTTCTTGCTGTGTTGAGTTTCAAATTCCATCTTTCAGTTCTTTTTAAAACACAGAAAAGACCTTTTCTGTGTTTTAAAAAGAACTGAAAGATGATATCTTGACTCTAATCACAACCTCCAGATATTATGAGTGCAACAAAATCAAGACGCTTGAATCTTGGTTATGTAACAAAGGAACGTATTACTCGAAAAAATGTAAATATATATTTTGACTGACAAAATAACCTAAAAGTATTTGCTGATGTATAAAATCCCTTCACTTGATCCAAAGATAAGGAAGGGGTCTCACCCATTTAAATTCTATCACAAACACGCCATTTTCAATTAATCTGCAACTTTTTCATGCAGCCAAACAGAACTAGGATTTCTCTTTTCCTAGACATCCCCAAATGTGTGCATTTAATAAATAAAATAGCTGACCTGATAAAGAGATGTCCATCTAGACTTAACAAAATAAATCGCAGCAATTTAATCTTCGCCCTAACTTTCCAGCACCCTGTCTTTCTGGGCGTATAGATGTCCCCCAACAGCAGTCAGGAGCTTGTTGGAACAGGAACATGGGCATGTTACAGGAATGTGATGGAATGTCTTATAGAAAGGTAAGCTGCTTCCTTAAAATTGTACTTGAAACCTTCATTAAACAGCTACCGCGTCTCAGAGACTTCTCAAAAGCCAGAGTTGTTAGAGGAAAATAAAACTACATTTACCTAAAGAAAACAGCACAAATGCCAGGGTTGTAGCTAACTAAGCAGCTATGAGTCATTCAGGTAAGCCTCGGCAAAAGTCGAACAGGTAGCTTTTAATAGCACAAATGCTCAAAACCTGGACTGAATACGACCAAAAGTTGTTATTTTAATTAAAATAGAGACACGAAGCGGCAGAAAAGGTATACAGATAATCCCTGACGAGTTAGTCAAGAGCAACAGGTGGCTGCTGCTATCTGTTTGTTACTAGCTTCTCTAGCTAACCTAAACTAGCTCAGTCATCGTTCTTGATCAACGAGACTCGAGAGCTCTTTCGTGATGAATCACTCACCTTTTCACGTAAGCAGTTAATCCCAAAAAAAGTGTTGTTTTGTTATTGTTCTCCTGAAATTAGCCGGTGCCCTTGTTACAACTTTTGACACTTGTCGCCTCTCGCTGATGACCAAGGCGGAACCAGTTCTACCTTTGAGTCCAAACGATCAGAAAAGTAACTTTGAAAAGGCTAAAAGTAAAATACAGCACGCGGACATCTTCGGGATATTCCACAAAGCGTCAGGAAATACGCGTTAAAAGTATTTCTAACTTCCTTGTAAGCACTTTGCTGTCAAAAGGTGTGCGTTATCCTCTCCGTAGGAAGATTATATACTGACGCGCATGCGTACTTCTTATCAAACTGCTTCAGCCGCAGCCCGCGCGGGCACGAGGCCGCGGACACGAGACCGTAAACCTCAGCCACCACGTGACCAGAGCGACAAAGGGAAGTACTTTACTGGGTGTTGGTGGGTAGTGGTTTAAATGCGGCGAGGTTTTGTTAGTGAATGTTAACTGAATACATATTTAGGTGAAATTAAATAAAAGGCCATCAGATGGAATTTGCCCCCTTTTTTACTGATAGAAATACTACTGTTACTGAGTATATGTCTTAGTCGCTTTAAAGTTATTTCTAGTCTGAAACAAAGATGTGTAAAAATAAATAAATAAATAAATAAATAACATTGTTATTTATTTAATTATTTATTTTAAAATTATTATTATTTTTTTGCCTGCTGGTGGTGGTCGGAGGGACCGGTGGCACCAGTGCTTGGCAGCCTCGCCTCTGTCAGTGCGCCCCAGGGCAGCTGTGGCTACATCGTAGCTCATCTCCACCAGCGTGTGAATGTGTGTGTGAATGGGTGAATGACTGATTGTGTTGTAAAGCGCCTTGGGGGGTTCAATTCAATTCAATTCAAAAATACTTTATTAATCCCAGAGGGAAACTGATTGCTGTAGTAGCTCAGAATAATAATAATAATCAAGTCATCAAAGAGTTGTTGTATATTACAATGGCTGTTGGCAGGAAGGATCTCCAGTAGCGGTCAGTGTTGCAGCCAAACTGAAGAAGCCTCTGACTGAAGACACTCTTCCGTTGTCGGACAGTCTTGTGAAGAGAATGCTCAGGGTTGTCCATCATTTTCTTGGTTCTCTGGAGAATCCTTCTTTGCATTATCTCCTCCAGCGGTTCCACAGTCGTCCCCAGAACTGAACCAGTCTTTTTTATTAGGCTGTTGAGCCTTTTCAGGTCCCTGCTTCTGATGCTGCTACCCCAACAGACGATGGCTGAAGAGATTACACTCTCAACAACAGACTTGTAGAAGATCTGCAGCATCTTGCTACAGACACTGAAGGACCTAAGCATCCTCAAGAAGTGCAGTCTGCTGTGTCCCTTCTTGTAAACGGCTTCGCTGTTCTTTCTCCAGTCCAGTCTGTTGTCCAGGTGAACTCCAAGGTGTTTGTATTCCTCAACCACCTCCACTTCTTCTCCCATGATGGAAACAGTGTTTGACTCCACCCGGTTTCTTCTGAAGTCTAAAATCATCTCCTTTGTTTTGTTCACGTTCAAGGTCAGATGATTGTTTCCACACCATGCCACAAAGCGCTCCACCAGCTCTCTGTACTCAGCTTCCTGTCCATCTCTGATACACCCGACAACTGCAGAGTCATCTGAGTATTTCTGTAGATGACAGGTCTCTGATTTGTACTGGAAGTCTGAGGTGTACAGGGTGAAAAGGAATGGTGAGAGTACAGTCCCCTGTGGTGCTCCAATGTTACTGATCGCCTGGTTTGATGTGCAGTTCTTCAGCCTCACAAACTGTGGTCTGTTTGTCAGGTAGTCTTTAATCCAGGCGATAGTTGAGGCCCCCACCTGTGTCTCCTGGAGTTTCTGGCAAAGTGCATCATGCTGGATTGTGTTAAATGCACTGGAGAAATCAAAGAACATGCATTCCAGGACTCTAGAAGGCGCTATATCAAATACAGGCCATTTACCATTTACCATTTAGTGAATCACAAATAAATTTACTATTCAAAATATTAATTTCAAATGGAAATTAATATTACATTATTATGGAAAACTTTAGTACACACACCACATTGGGAGAAGGATTGGTCTACACTCTTCTTTGTAGGGTCGTCATAAAAAGCCGTCTGTGTTTTAGTGACCAGCTCAGAGGTGTTTCTCAAAGTTTAGCCCTTCAGTGCCTCCAGGCATTCGGCCAGCTGCCACTCTGGTTCACTGATGTTGAGAAGTAAAGGACGCATGGGTGAACTGTATGGAGAAATCTCCTTTCAAAGAGACATGTTTTCTTTTTGATTCTAACCAAGTTTATCATCTTTGTTTGAAGAGAATCTGTGTGATTTGTGAACAATGCTAATCAGTAGCATACAGGGGGCTACCAGTATGATTTATGCTGTACTTAGGGCCTCAGAAATTTGTGGTACGTCCCTGGTCACAGTCCTCATTGTCAGAAATCCCTGATTCTGATCCCTTTCCTCTGGCTGTTGTAATTAAAAATCCTGCTATATTTTAATGTCACCACTTGATGGACCTATCGCATCATTTATGTAGTGGTGCCCATAAAAGGGCATTCTTATCCTTTGTCATAGATACCAGAGAATTTAGTAAACATTCATTTTTATATCATTAAAGGAGATTACACCATTTACCATATAATTCATCTATAGACAAATAAACTGCCCTTTGCTTTAGTTTAGTTTTTTCAGATTTTATTCACAAACTACAAATACAAATACTTGCATGTTTGTTTTCTAAAATCTTGCATTTCAGTTGTTTCAGTCTCGGTGTTGCTGTCTGAGGTGTACTACGGAGAGCTAGTTGTGCTGTGAGGTTTAGCATCCAATAGAATTGCACTTTTATTAAATGTTAACATTTGAACCATGTCACCATCTAGTGTTTAAAACCAGAAATACTTGAACATCCAGTTGATGCTCAACACAGAGGTTCCTGGGTAAAAGAAAAAACCCGTGCTCCTGGTTTAATGCGTTTAAGCAGGCAGTTTAGCTCTTTAGTTCATATTAGCACCAACATGATGAGTATAATGTTTATCTCATTCTGGGAACTATCACAGATTCTTAACTGAAAACTTGCACGTAACATCTACCCTTCCACATTTGTTCTGTTGTGCTCATTTGTCACAACTCTATATGACTACCAGTAATATCCTAAAGCAACCTTCTCACCTGCCTCACAGTTCCTGAGCACAGGCATATTTCAGCTTTTAGTTTGAAAGTTAGTCATTTCCTGTTTGGTCTTATAGGAAACCTTATGTAACTTGACTCAATGTGGCCGCACCACAGAGAAGTGAAGGTGAGCATCCTGCAGGTACTGTCACAGCCCCCCCCCCCCACACACACACACACACACACACACACTGCTGTACAACACTCCACCAACAACCAAACTAAATATCTGTATTCTGTTCAATATGATCTTCACCGGGAAACAAAAGTTCAGGGGCCTGATTAATAAGGTTTGCTTACGCCCAAGATGAGCTCTGAAAATTGCTTTAGTTATCCTTTACTCATACGTACTACGTTATGTTACATTCATACGAACATCTCCAAATTACTTGTCTGACATGCTACGGCCTGCTACTGTATTAGCGACTGCGCCTGCTACTGTATTAGCGACTGCGCCTGCTACTGTATTAGCGACTGCGCCTGCTACTGTATTAGCGACTGCGCCTGCTACTGTATTAGCGGCTGCTCCTGCTACTGTATTAGCGGCTGCGCCTGCTACTGTATTAGCGGCTGCTCCTGCTACTGTATTAGCGGCTGCGCCTGCTACTGTATTAGCGGCTGCACCCGCTACTGTATTAGCGGCTGCTCCTGCTACTGTATTAGCGACTGCGCCTGCTACTGTATTAGCGGCTGCGCCTGCTACTGTATTAGCGGCTGCTCCTGCTACTGTATTAGCGGGTGCAGCCGCTACTGTATTAGCGGCTGCTCCTGCTACTGTATTAGCGGCTGCACCCGCTACTGTATTAGCAGCTGCACCTGCTACTGTATTAGCGGCTGCACCCGCTACTGTATTAGCGGCTGACATGCTAAGCCACCAGAAGGATCATCACTCTAACTTCATCCAGGGCATTTTTGAAACGCAAATGTCACATTCCCTTCTGACAGTTTAAAGTATTGTGTGTCTGCTCTGTCTTTTCAAACCCCGGTGAGTCGCCGCGGCAGGTGGCTCATCTTCCCCAGTAGCTGCTACTGACTACACGGCCAGATTTATAGTGCTTTTCTCCACGGTTAATGCTCCTTCTACTACACTACCATTCTTGTGAAGGATTTCAAGCTCGCTAAACTCACAGCCATGCTTCTCCTCCTTCTCCTTGTCTGGTTTGATGACATCAGTTTGGTGCGACGAGTTCTCCACGTGCTTTCACGCAAAATCTAAAGTAAGTTTTGCTGCATTTAGAAAATAAGAGCTTTCTTGGCATCAACATGTGTCTTTAAAACTCATGGATATCGTGTTAAATCCAGGACACATACGGGATTAGAAAATAACTTTTAACGGCCCCATTCGTTTAGTTTTGCAGTAGGGGACCCGTTGATCTGGCGTAGGTGGAGTCGGCTCCTGAGGCACACGGGCTGTTGGAGACTCAAAACAGAAGCCGGAAAAGTAACTATGGTAAAAAAAAAATAAAAATAAAGAAATAAAATTGTGGAGAAGGACAAAAACTGACTATATGGATGACACTGGCTCTTAAATGTTTTTGTTTTAATATAAAGGCTGTAGGCTTTTGATATTGATATTTGACTATCGTGAAACTGCTTATTTGCAGAAAGGAAATAAACAAATTTGGAGGAATCGTAGTCATTTTCCATCAGCCTGACTATTTCTTTCCATCAGTGACAACTGCTGCCTTCATGAGTTAAGGTCATCCTCCTGGGTGTCCCCGCATGATAAAACCAAAGACCTGAGCATGTCCAGAGTGGAAATGTGGACATTTGATAAAACAACAAAAGGGTT